GAATGGATGATTCCAGCAATGTACGAAATTTTGATCTAAACAAGAAGAACGAAACCATTACCATAGCTGGAAGGAGCATCTTCAAATGAGTAAAATTGTAAAGTTCGGTTGCGAATTGTTGTTCAATAAATGGACAAAACACCATGTTCAATAAATGGACAAAACACCATGTTCAATAAATGGACAAAACACCATGTTCAATAAATGGACAAAAGATACTGATGGAAATGGCCCACAAGAGTTGTCCTTTTCGATTTTCGCAAAGCTCTTGATCTAATCGATCATAACATTCTTGGCACGAAACTCGCAACCTTAAAGGGGCAATGTCACCGATTTTTGAGCAATTCCAACCCTCGCAAATTTTGCCCAAAACTGAAAAAGAATGAGTGTAAGCACAAAATAAAGCAATAACAGACACAAAAAACATGTACAGAAGTCTAGATGGGCAAGATTACGCCAGGATTGAGACGGATTGTAAATGGCATCTTGATTAATTGTTGGCAGACACTTTTTCAAGTTTTAGTCAATTTTTATGAAAATGTCATGTTACATGTTGCGTGGAGGTTCAAAGTTGTTTAATATGATTCATATATCATAACTTAATCCATTTACAATGTTTATTTTTAACTTTGTAGTTCAGTTTTTGAATAAAAGGCATTTTAGGTCAAAAATCGGTGACATTGCCCCTTTAAATATCCCTCATAAGATCGAATGTTACTAGAAATATTTAGCAGAAATAGACGAAATTTTGATCTAGACAAGAAGAACGAAAGCCATTACCATAGCTGGAAGGAGCATCCTAAAATGAGTAAAATTGCAAAGTTTGGTTACGAATTGTTGTAAAATGAGGAAAATATAGCACTGTGAAGCGCAAATTTTGTATATATTTGTATTACGCGCGTGAAAAATAACCATTTTGGGGTCGAAAGTGGTTATTTTTACCACACGTATTACAAATATATACAGAATTTGCGAACTTCACAGGGCTATATTTTCTTCATTTTACAACATTTAGCAACCAATCTTTGCAGTTTAACTCATTCTAAGACGCTCTTTCTAGCTGCATGTGGTGAAGTATTTCGTTATTCTTGCCTTGATCAAAATTTAGTCTATAGCCGGAATCACCCATTATCAAGCGTGAGGGCTACTCCACATGTCACGCCAGAACAGAATTCAAGATTACGATTACACAATAGTTCTTTGAATTACGATCTGTTTCGACATAATTGTATTTCTTCTCCTGCCTGTGCGTGCGGCTACTACCGAGAGACATGTAAACATTACTTGTTGGATTGTTAGCGCTTCCAGGCCGATCGTGCTCAACTCCGTACTTCGGCTGCAGACTATCTTAATTACCACTGGACTACAGCTAATGATAATGTTAAACTTAATTACTTGCTACATGGATGTAACGAAGTTGACTTTCACCCAAATAGAACTCTATTCTTAACAGTACAAGACTTTATAATTAATTCCAAACGTTTTGTAACTACTTAATAGTCCAGTGTTAGTCTTCCGTATACACCTTTATTCATTTTTCTCTCTCTTTTTCCTCCTATTGTTTATTACTCCAACTTTTCATAAAAATTTTAAATTGACATAATATATTTACCGCCTACTTGACACCAAATTCTTGTAAATAGAACAAGAGCCCCTTGATGAGCTGAAAGCTCTTGGGCAATTCAATTGTAATATTTCTATTATTAAAATATGTTTATTTAAAAAAAAACCCAGAATTCAACAATTATTTTATTACGCGTATAAAGAACAAAGAAATAAATTTTAAAAAATTTTAGTGAAATAGTTTGAGGAATTCGGCTATAACTTATTTCACTTAAGGTTCACTTAATCTTTTCTCATTTACAAGATATTTATTGAAGAACTCTTAATAAAGTTTGTTTCGTGTTTTCCGCTCCATTTTTGTCATATAGGTTTTTGTAAATTAACTTGAAACTCGCTGTGGCTTTATTTTTTCTGCGTGTCAACAAGCTGGCTTTTGTGCTAGCGTGAAGATTATTCTTTATACCAAAATGGAGAAAATTATTATCTACAGTTGTGACGTCATAATTACGCAATATCAATTATGATGTTCGTTCAGAACATTCTAATGCTAATACAAACTTACAATGTAAAGCTTAACTTGCGCAGCGAGAATATCTAATTCCACAGAATTTTCTCCGCACAATTTCTTGCTAAATGATCGACCACCATCTCTCACACGAATTAATAACTGAAACGTTATACATAAGAAGAATTAGTAACGTTGTGACATCATACTTTTACCAGGGGCGGTTTAAAACATACCTTTTTTGTCATTGCTAGGACACGTTGTCGAAATGATGGCGACTGACTGTTCATATTCACTGGATAAAATTTTCTTAATAAATCTAAATCTCCAGCTGTAAGAGGTTCTGTGGTCCTTAAGCTGTCACATATCAAACTCAGGACGTCAGAGCGGACCTAAAAAACCAACTGTGCTATCATGATTTTGGTAAGAAATACTATACATGGTTAGGTCTAATAAATGTATTTAAAATACTCATTAAAAATTCATAAACCTTGTGGCAAATCATGTCAGCCATAATATGTCACGTGAAGTGACTTTATATCTGATAAAACTCATCTTCATTAGTATTCTTTATATAATTGTTCATCCCAATTAGTATGATTATATAATTGTTCATCCTAATTAGTATTCTTTTGTAGTCGTATTTTAAGCTATTCAAAACACTCGAACTCGCGTTTTATCATATCTAAAACGCTCGGCTGCGCCTCGCGTTTTAAATATGATAAAACACTCCTTCTCGTGTTGTAAATACTACATAAATTTACACACGATAATTTCCATCTACAAGATCCTTCAATTGTTATTCAATCGAGTGCGGAGCCAACAAAATCTTGATATTTACCAATGGCCTAACATGGTAGTACCCTAGTAGTATATATACATGAACCTGTGGTTAGAGCTCGACAACCTGACCTCTGTAACTCAGTTGGTTAGAGCTCTGCACCGGAATTGCAGGGCTGCAGGTTCGATTCCTGTCAGGGATCTATAGCTGCATTTTTCGCAGCTGTTCCTGGTTAGGTATAATAAATGTAGATACATTTCCACTCGATGACTTCCATCTATAAGATTCTTCAAGTTCTATACATGGTCGTTTCGAGTACAATTTACCCTTTCGATCAATTTATCCTTCACCCAGAAATCGCTCTCTCGACCGGGAGCCTCGTTTCCACGGAGCGTGGATGAACAGCCTTTCGTCTTGATTCACGAAAGAGAAGCTTTCAATACAACAAACAATATGCTTACACTGTACGCAACACAAAACATAGGGACATTAAGGTTGGGGACAGTATATCAGAACGACAAAAGTAAGAGTAACAAACTTTAAACAAACTTCAATAGTAAACCTTATACTGTAATTATAAAAAACAACTCCAGAATTACAGTGCAACGGACATACCATTACTAGAAATGTATCACATTTCAAACGCATACCAAATCAACAGAACGTTGAAATTGACACGGATGACGAAAGCAACAACAACAACAACAACAACAACAACAACAACAACAACAACAACAACAACAACAACCCTGACAACAACCAGACGCAAGTTGGCAATAACGAAATCGAAAGAACCAACAAAGAAGAAGTTCGCAAATCGAGTCGTGAAAGGAGAATGCCAGAAAGACACTGCATGTATGGTCATGCCATCACATGGACTTTGCATGCTTGAACTTCGAAAAGGAGAAGTGATATTATAATTAGACATTTAATAAACACCATGTAAGGAATATAGACATTTTGATCTTAGATTGGGAAGAACAGACTGGATATAGATACATAGAGACAGTTAGTCTGGGGAACAACATTATATTGTTATAGATTCAATAAAGTTATAGAACACTACATTCATGTTAAATCAATGTTTGGCAAATATAGGCGAGGGGTTGCTCCATGCATATATTTATAGTTCATAGTAAAATTCAAACTGAGGATTAGCGTTTTCAGTCACATATTTTGTTGGGAGTGAAAATATCAATGACATTTTTAGAAAACAGCCACCCCTGCCCCGTGACAAAATAAACGACGGTCCCTAAACGTACCTCATCATCCAAGTGACACAACGCTTTTTCAAGGACAACAACAGAAATTGAACCTAACCAGAGTCCATTTGTATCAGTATCTTTTTGACCCAAGATATCAACTCTAGGGAGTAACCCAAGATGTCTGGCCGTTTTAAGGCATGTGACCAGACAGCGAACATTGTCCAAAGCAAAGTTACCTATATAAATGCAATATGATGGTTGGATAAACTGGATAAGACTGTCCAGGAAAGCTAGTGAAATTCAGCAAGTAGCTGCAAGTTAAACGAATAGGGCCATAATAATGCAAACAAGCCTATTGCATTTAAGAGTATATAATGTATATAATTGGTTCACTTCACCCTGATCCCATTCTCCCACAATAATTTGGTGTGTGTTTTACTTATTTTTGGGCTGTTCTTTCATGTATAATGTGACCGCGACCTTTGGTTTGTTTGAATTCAAGATCATAAAAACATATTGATATCGAAGGAACTAGACTGCATGAGTTCGGAAATATCACATACTCGAAGCGACTTGACCTCGTAGCTCAGTTGGTGGAACATTGGACTAGAGACACTTGTTATACTTATTATACATTATTCAGCTAACTCCCCATCGGAACTTTTCAGTAACCGCTTACATCAAGTATTATGCTTACAACAATTGTGATATTACTTTCCTAATTATGTTCACCTAACCCAACCTGTCAACTTTCCCTGCGGGAAGAAACCGGAGTGCCCAAAGAAAACCCACGAATTTCGGCAGAGCATTGACCGACACTTTTCACATGAGTCCGTAGTGAGAATCGAACCCACGATCTCAGAGGTGAAAGACGCTGGCTCTGGCGACTGTGCCACCGAAGCGAACCAAAGGTCGCGGGTTCAATTCTCACCGCGGTCAAGCAAACGTTTTAGCTTGCCAGGTGTGAACACACTCAGAGAAACATCACAAACAAATATGAAAAAATAGTTTTACATTATTCCGACATTGCGGAGAGGAATGAAAGCAATGAAAATTCGTTTTCTCGAGTGAAAACCCGCACTTTCGCGTCTCTAGACAGCCGCTCCTTGATGTGTTCTTCATTGTTTTCTGCAGTGTTAGAATAATATGAAACTAGTTTCTCATATCTCTAAGGATGGTTCGTGCACTTAAATTAAACTGAATAAGACTCGCTAGCATTCCCCGTCTAGAAAGCGGTGGTCTAGAAACCGAAGATGCAAGTTCGTATCGTGCTCGAGACCATTCTCGTCCCAGACCATTCTCGTCTCATTCGGTCGCTCGTTGAAAATTAGGCTCTGGGTTAGACGACTAAAGGAAGAGATCAGATTGGCTTCTCAGAAAACTGCTATTTCGCAGAAATTGAGGAATTTTCGCTAGGAAAAATTTTCTATCAAAGTATATGAACACAAATAAATCGTTTCTTCGCAATGCTTCTCTGTGAAAATTGTTACGGGTGCGGAAGCTTCCCAATTCAAGAGCATGCATGCGCTTTAGGAACTACTGCAAGTTTTCTTCCACTTCCGGTTCCGTGTATCCCATGGCCTATGAAGGCCGCACGTAGACGCGAGGCCCTGGGAACGAGGATGGCACGAGACAACAAATTTTTCGTTGTTCTCTGTATATTTTCGGAGTAATATGAAACATGCCTATTAGCCCACAGTTTTATATATACACAAGAATAACATGGCAGCTTTACATCATATTTTTCTTTAAAAACAACGGACACAAACCTTCAGAAGATTTCTCAGCTGGTGCGTGCAGTTTTTGTATGATTCGATGTAAGCTTTCCGGACAACATTTCAGCAAGGTCGGAACATAATACTAATAAATATAACAGTTTCAGCATTGAATTTATGGAATTGAAAATGGTGAAATAAATTATCACATGCCAATAAAATAGTGATGAAATAGTGAAGTATTTGAAAGATAGGGGCATATCTTTTCGCCAGCGATCCACAGCTCACTGGCGAAAAGATATCCCCCTATCTTTCAAATACGTGACAAAGTGAGAAGCAGATATCACATAATCATGGAATATGTTTCATAATTTGCGATACAAATAAAGTTGTATACTAATGGTCATACATATACAAACAAATATATGTACTCAAAAACAGATTTTTAAACCAAACCAATTTGGAACACACATTTCATGATTTAAAGCATCACTACAATTAGTGCTTCAGGGACCGCGGAGCCTGTTTAAAATTGGGGGAGGGGGGGGGGCAGGATAGTATCATTAGTATGGAAGCTATGCCACGCGCAGACAGGCTGGATTTTATCCGGTAATTTTTTTGTTCATGCAACATTATTGAAGAGACACACCCCCTGTTCCGCGGTCCCTGTACTTACTTCTGCAATATGCTTTCTCACATGTTTTTCACGCAATGACAGGCTTCGGAGAGCAGGAACAACCCACAACTGAAATAGAAAAATAGATCGGATTTATATGTATATACAACAGTTTTAAGACAAATCCATGGTTAAACATGTATTTTGCGAAAGTTAATATGTTCAAAATAAAGGCATAATTATCGTATACTAGAGGAAAGAAATTTCAACGCTTGTAATCAATAAATATTTGGAATTCGATAAAATTCTGTTACCTCAAACCAGTCATTCAAATATTCAGAAGTTGTTTTTGATAATTGTTGTAGATGACTGATAAACATCTTTTCAGCAAACTCCATTGCCTTTAAAAGAATAAAAACTTGTCACGTCCAATTGCATCACTTTTTGAAAGGTTTCTGAATGCCACTTTGGAGGAATCAAGCCCAGATGTATAATTGTGGCTCACTATATATGTGAACTAAATATTCATGTTTAGTGTATACATTCAATGCAATTTTTCACACGATTAGGATTACCATCCCAATACATTTTTTGGTAGGTAGATGGTACAGTATATACGTTTGCATGAGATCCTACAATTGGGACACTCATCAGCAAATGAAAACTTCGTATACAGCAAGTACCTCAAGTACATTGGTAACTTGAAAACAAGGCTGGATTTTGGTGGAAATAGTGGGGGAGGTGGGAAACAATTTAGAGGAGGTGCAGCAGTTTAGCTCACGAGCCCCATGGAAAACGGGCGAAAGTCAGTGACGTGACATGTGCATGTAGTGTACATATGTATCAGTGTATTAATGAATTATGACTGTGCAACTCATCCAATTTTGTCCTTCATTACAATTACTACAAAGTTTCTTTCAAAACATTGCATTAAAAGGTTACTTAACACAGATGTGAATGGCTATCACTGTTTCAATTTTACAGAAAAACGTTCTTACGAAGTGTAGACCCTAAGCAACAAAAAATGTCAAATTTTCACTTTGATCTATCATTGAAACTTTCCCAAAAGGAGATGCACGACTTTTCAGGGGAGGTACAAAAATTCTCAGGGGAGGTGCAAAACGATCTCAGGGGAGGTGCGCACCTCCCTACATGCACCTCCCCTCAAAATTCGGCCATGTTTGATCATGACGCGAGCAAACAGATCAGGACGCTTTTGGTATATAAAGGGGCGTGTGAATTAAATTAAACAAGCCATACATTATTAGCATGTACTGATGAAGATCCTGCCTTACGGATGGAAGGCCTCACGGTAAAAACGGATTGGTTAAAATAACCAATTTGAATTGGTGGCAAACTCATCATCCTCGATGCGCTTCCAATGGTTTTACATGGACATCATGATGTATCTTTTTCAATTAATGTTAAGCCATTTATACGAGAGAAAATAAGCCGCGGCTTAAGTAAGTCGAAACGACTCGTATAAACAGTCTATTTACAACACTCTGAGGCTTATTTAGGCCTATACAGCTTTCAACCCTGGGCTTATTGTAGCCGCAGCTTGCAAAAAAGTTGACTGTTTATATAGCCCTAATAAACATATCAAACCAAATCCAGTAGCTACATCTATCACATATGTCTACAAGCTCTTACATGCTTACATGTGGCACGACAGTTTGATCAGTCATCACAAACATGATATCCTCAGGAATACTCGGGTGAACTTCCAACATAGCTTGAGCACCCAAGACATCCACCAGACAACACAGAGGACCATATTTTCCACGTACAAACATGTTTATTTCACATAATTTCCTCGATAGATCTACCACAAACGGATCGGATGTTGGTTCTAAAAGAGAAAAATGCAAGTCAATAATGTTGCATGTATGTGAGTGGGGAGTGTTCTGTAACAGTGTACAGGGGGTAGGCGTTAAAAAGTTGCCCCCCCCCCCTAAAAATGGTATTTCCTGTTCTTGTCACCATGAGGAAAGAAAGTCTTACCAAAAGTACTACAGTAGTTGGGTTTTTGAACTTAAGTACTTGAATGTTTAGTTTTGTCATAGCCTTCAAAAGGAAGATGGTTTGGAAACTCGTTAGAATAACAACTCATTATCTATGTTAGTCAACGTTTATTCATAAGTCTGGTCCTTCGTCGTCACGTGTGTATTGTATTTTTGCCAAATCCACCAATAGCAATTTCCAATTTACCCGTTGTGGCGTTGTTCGAGTCGCGGATAGGTAACTTTCATAAAATCTTGCTATTTTAATGAGTTTCATGTTGTTATTCTAATGAGCTTCATAGCCATCTTCCCTTTGATAAGCTATGGTTTTGTGGCATATGTGAATAAACATTGTGATTTGAAGTCAAGAATTATAAAAAAATAGATACGTTTAGAGAGTTTTTACTCAAAATTCAAGATGGCGGATTTGAATCAGAATTTAATAAGTTCTATATTATGCGATTTTACTTTGTATTAGTCACCCAGAAATAAAGTGTCCAAAGGTCTGAATGAATCCGGAGGAACTGGCTGATGTGATGCAGCAATTTTTTGTAAGTTTCACACGTATATATGATAGAACTTTTAGACAGATTCACACATCGGAGAACAAAATCAAACTTTCCTGACTGTTGGCCCAGTCCTTCGCACGATCTATATAATGTTGAGATCTCGGCTTAGCGTCGGTCGGTAGGGATGTTTAGCATGCGCTAAAACTTTCAATTGGAAAACGCAATAAACGAAAGTCCATTGTAACTAGGAAATTCCAAATAGCAAAGGTAATAAAAGGAAAAATAAGACGAAAATATTCATATACTCAAGTGTTGGAAAACCCAACAAAGATTCATATACTTGGCGTTTATATAAGCACTCATTCCGATCACTATGTTCCAGTGAAGAGCATGCAGTCATTGCAGTGGTCTTCCATGGGCGCATATAAACACGAAATAGCCCAATGGTTGCCCTAACCAGTAAAGCTCTAATAAACAATTTGAGAATTAAAAAAGTAAAACAAGTTTTAAAAAAATTTGAGAAAGATTTCTAAGTCAGACAAAAAACAGTCGGAACTCGATTTATGTTGCAAGGGGCCAAGTGTGCTTAAAGATGTAACAGTAATTTGGCTGTAGCTTATCTAAATGTTGGATAAAATAAGTAAGAACATGTACTATCATGAATCAAAATATAGACTTTTATAATTTATAGTTGGCCGAAGAGAAACGTAACAAAGAACATCATTTGAAAGCTTCTCTCGGATTGTTTACTCTTTCGATTGGTCCCTCAATTGGATTTTCGCACATAAGTTTGCACTAAAAAGAAAGGGAAACTTCGGATTTTGTGCTTTATAATTCGACGATTTTATTATTCACCGGTGAATAAAAGTAATGTCCACCATCCAAAGATGTTGCTAGGAGACAGTCGGACTTTGTGACATTCACGTGATATGCTCTCGTCCAATGAGATTCAAGAAAACATGAACTTTGACAATTGGCATATAATAGAGATTAAATATAGGTTAAAATGCAACGAAAAGGCCCTGAAGAAAATTTTGACAAATATTTGTACGAATAAAACATATAAAAATACAGAGAAGAAAACTGTTAAACATTTTAAGCGAAATATTTTTAGGTTAAATGTTTGTTAACGATTTTTCGGGTTTCTGCATGAATATTCAATTTCTGAATAATGTTAAAACAGTCAGATGGTGTTAAAACTGGGGTTGGTTTGACCTTATAATTTGCTCAAATTGTTTTATGGGTCTTGCATGAAGTACTTATCGAAATTGTAAAGTGTCTTTGAGATGGACTTAAAAACTTGAATTAAATATTACTATATTGAAATATGATGATCCCAACTATTAACATTAAGATCAGTCTTACCATTTCCAGTGACAGTAATGTGTATCTTGACAGCATTATCAAATATCTCCCGCGTGTGGTACCTCATTGCCTTAATATGGAAGAAAAAGGATAAATTTTAATGCTAGTCGGGCGACAAGAGCAAAAATATTAAGCACAAGATTTGGAACGCAGGTGGATACAGGTTTATCTTCAATTAAATCTCCAAAGTTAATTGAAGAAGGGGAAAATTTTAATTGCAATGGGTTGTGCTCATTTTTGCATGCCTGTAGTGTTCATTTTACATTCAACAGATAACATTGACCTCGGTCTAAACAATTCTGGAAATCCTGCCTAACCTAATCGATTGTATAATTATCAATAATTTCAACGGTTTATTTTACCAATTATTATATAAACGTAATCAATACACGCGTAGTTTTAAGTCGTAAGAGCGTGGGGGGGGGGGGTAATGGGGGGGCTTACAAGATTCTCCCGCCGAGAAGGGAGCTTATCCAATAAGAGGACTTTATGAGAGGACTTTCTTAACAGAGGGCTTAACGCAGCATTTACAGTAATTAGATTTGCGAACTTCTTCCAATTCTACTATGTCGACTTTTCCCTTCCTTCCATCGACCTCATGTCAGGCAGAAGATCACAGGAGGATGATCCCAAAAGTACCTCTATAGGATGATCCCAAAAGTTCCATACAAAGTTCAGCAATGTTTGAATTATTTCAGAGTTGTCCTGCATGCGTGATTTGAAACCATCATCCATGGTAGAATCTGAGGAGCACTCCCTAAGAAACAAAACATGAACAAAACATGAATTAAGACCCGTTTTCACTTGCAATTTTTACTGTGATTCAGGTGCGATTTTCTGCTTCTGATGGATGTGAACGACTGGATGAGTCGTGAACGTTCAGATGAGGGTACGCATACTCAGAACATTCATAACTCATCTACTCAATCACATGCATCAGAAGAAGAATATCGCACTAGAAATCGCAGCGAGAATTGCAAGTGTAAACAGACCTTAAGGTACATTACAATATCGCAGGCGCCTTTCACTTCTGAGTTCGTGGGTTTGATTCTCGCCACGGACTCTTGTGAAAAGAGTCTGTCAACACTCTACCGAAAGTCGTGGGTTTTCTTCGGCTGCTCCAGTTTCCTCCCACAGGGAAAGTTGACAGGATGGGTAAAGATAAACACAGATAGGAAAGTAATATCACAATTGTTGTAAAGATAAATATAAGTAATCGTAATACTTGATGTAATCGGTCACTGAAGAGCCCCAATGAGCTGGATAATAATGTAATGTAATCGCACCTTGCCTCTGTGGTCCAGTAAGCTAACGTTCTCAATGCGACCAAAGTGCTGGAGTCCTTCAGTCTAGTTAAAAAATTAAGTTAATTTGGTTTTAATATTGAACATGTTTTCTTCAACACATTCAAATAAGCTTTCTAGGTGAGACAAGACGCGAGGCTCTAGAAGGTGTATAAAAATAGGTACGCCGTGCGTATAAGTATCTGCGCAAATGTGGAGTCACATTTTGTATTTTCTTGAAAGGAAGTAAATAAAGAAGTTGGCATTGGGACAATGGAAGTATTTCATCACTTATTATATAAATATAAAATAGCAAATTAAATTTTAAAGTCAAACATAATACACATCTAACAAGGCTGTACGCAGCGGGGAGTGGGGAGGCATTTTCGAACTGTGCAATTTTTTTATACACCCTGTATCGATTCCAATATAATAATCGATCCCAAAATAGGAATCTAAACTTTCATATGTCACATACCATATAAAATTCGGACCATCTGTAAGCAGAGGTCAAGATGGAATTCAGTGTTCATATTTGCAAAACAATTCATGCAATTATTCTTATAAAAATTACACAATTATACGTGTGCGCTCATCTTCGAAATGTTGAAGATCTTGAATCGTACGTACCTCGAACATAATGATGTTATTTCTGGAAATAAAACATCAAGTAACAGATTTCCAGTCTTTCCACCGACAGCATTGTGAAGAAACTACACATTCAAAAAAATGGTAAAAACTATGGTTTACCAACTATTTGATCATAGACATAGAAAAGGCTTGACCATTTTGTAAAAAAAACCTTTCATTCAGTTCTATATCACACATTGCCGTAAACTATCCTGGGCAGTCCCGAACTCCCCACAATGAAATCAAGATAATTATAAATGACGAATTGCATAAAATATTCTGATAATTTCGCCTCAGTCGCATGCGAGAGGAGTGTTTCCATTCTGACTTTAGCAAACGCAGAAGGGTACGTTTCCCGGTATACTGCGGGCCAGCTTTTCCCAGAATATTTCAGGTGGAACTTGCATGGGCGTCGATAGGTGAAGGCCTCGGAAGTTTCACAATTTAACCTTCAGAACAACTCAAAGATACTTTTAATTTGTGTTGTGAAACGAATTTCAGGTGGTAGGTTCGCTCTTCAGGTGGTAGGTTCGCTTCTTTCTTTGTTGGGCTTCCGACAGGAAAATTATTTTCGGCACTAAAGCTTTTAATGAGATGACTGAGTCTCAAAACTCAATTTAAGATTGAGTTTTTTGGGCCGTTTAACGCCGTGAAAAAGCCATGAAAAAACGCCTGCCGTTCCTGAAACGGGACCAACTCGAATACGTCGATAAATCCGTGATACGATGTTCCGCAAAGCAATGAATGACTCTTTCCACGAAAGAGCAAAGTCTATACGAAAATCGAGCCCAATTCTCCACTCTAGGTAACAAGTGCGTTCAAATCCTTTCCGAAGTCTTATTATGCATACAGTATATATGTGCGACTCCTTCTATCTGTCAAACGCTGCACTATTCCTATATAACTTCTAAGATTAAATTCGTAATGGATTATATAACTTCTAAGATTAAATTCTCATGGCTGTAGACGTCAATGAGCTGTAATAAGCGGCGATACCTTCAACATCTAAAGGGCTTCCTCGGAATTTGAGATGTTCGCTTCAAAACCGCAACCCCTTAGTGCACTACGTCCAGTATAATGGACCAATAGCATCTTGGTAAATAAAGTATCCAGGCGATCTACCACCCAGCGAGTGACTTTGAATTTTGGTTACCAATTTGTTGCCCAGCTTCTACACACTGCGCGGGCAACTCTATTTTTCTATAGCTTACGTATACTATTATAATTTCTAGATTAATTCAGTGTGTGTATGTGGGGGGGGGGGGGATTATAAGAGAAAAAAGATGATTACCTCTTCACTAGCGACGAGAGAATCCCTTGTCAACATGGTTATTACACCACGACAAATACCGAGGTATGAGAAACCACTCAGATCTAATCAAAATACACCCAGACTTAGAAATTTTCCTGTAAAATACTAAAATGTAAAATACTAAAAGACCATTAAAATTCAATGTCAAAAGTAATAAAAAAAAGATGTCTGGGATTAACTATGCATGGAATAAGACGAGCTGTATACAGAATACAGATAGCTTCATTACTATAGATATAACCAGACATTTTAGTACTTGAAATACATGCATGCAGCAACCTCTAGCCTATATTATCCAAACATTGATTTAACAAGAAGTATTAGTAATTGGCGTGAAGTGTCGCCATGACAACTCAATATTTTTAATTTTTCAAATACTTCTGCTGTATAAATTGGCAAAATAGCTGAAAGATACTTTTTACTATACAACAATGAATTTCCGAAATATATATTGTAGGTATGTTGTTTTGTATTTTGTGAGCTTTGATTTAGTGTATAATATCATTTTAGCCACGATTTTCCAAATATATGTTTTTGAAAATGGAAATCTTGCCCACTCCTGCCAAACAGCCATATTTTTGAGATTATATAATGGAGGAGTTCCAGCCAAGAACCATCGACACGCTAATGATTATTGATGAACTTTAGACTTCGCTAATGCTTTCCTTTCCTCGGGTATACATAGCTGAACGGAATTAGTACCCCCACCCCGGGTCAATGCCCGAAACGGCGCTTCTGAGAAAAATACGATCTAATATATAGTTGCGCCCCACCAAAAATATCCTGTGGTTCCGGTTTCTCGACAGATATTACATTTTCTGCCAGTCCTAATGTTTTTTGGACATTGTTTGCTTACCTAACAATCCTATTTTTTTCGTTGCTCGTGCAGGTTAGAAACTGTATGGAACCACAGGATATTTCTGTTACGCCTCTCCAATACACATTTTATATTTCCTGTATTACTTCTATGGCAAATACTTTTTTACGTACCAGAAATATCCTGGCATTTAAAACTGTTTAATATCCAGTGAGTTGTACAAATTTCGTTGCCAGAGAGTGTTTTTTCCATGTATGACGGGAAAAACAGGGACACAATCTAAAGATAAAAGTTTAACTTAATATTTTATAACAAGACGGTCTATATATAGAGCGTTAACTCGCTGGGGCTCAGTACAAATATGCACATTATTGTATATGGTACAACAATCAAATGGCCAATTGAAGAGTTGTCACCTGGCTCTTGTTGCAACTGTTCTTATAAAAGCATATGCAACAGCTTCAGTTAACTATACTGTTCTTTATCGTTAATTTGAGTTTGCTACTGTCGGTCAGGGGTGGTATATATATTAGCGAGATTCAGATTTGACTTAGAAATTGATTCTGAATCAAAAAATTGATTTTGATTCTGAAAGTTAAGACACCTTTTTATTTTTTTATAATTTTTATATTAAAATTTGCCGCCTAAGTTAGGCTTTATTATCAACAGCAGCTTTTGGTCCCCGTAGATATAACCCTACGTTGAGCGGAATACTAATGAGCTTGTCATCATAGTGATTATGGCGTCATTTATGATGGGGTTGCGCTAGGGGTGGATTTATGGGAGGGGTTGCACAGGGGTGCGCACCCCTGTTGGCCTTGGTCAACAGGGGTGCAAAAAAATCAAATTCAGAAATATGGCATAATTTCCAAGGTTTTCCCTTTTTTGAAGTCAAACTGAAGCTCATAATTCAATGCCCATATCGCAGGAAATGGCATTTCTAGGGTTCTAATTTTCAAAATTTTCGGGGGGAGGGGGGCATAGCCCTGGGGAGCTTGCGCCTTCTGCGCTCGAGTTGTTAGGAAGCCAATTCATTTGAATGCTCTCTCATCACCCCCTTAAAGAATTATAAAGCAACACTCGGCTACTCGCTTAGCACCCCCTAGAAAAACCTTGCTGGATCCACCCCTGCGTTGTGCAACTTTGGGATACAGCAAAGAATAATCGAAGGAGCATTATGCGAACTTGACAAAAAAATCGTGAAGTAACTCTTGATTTTTTAAAAAAATTGAGAGGACGAAATGATCGAAAGGACGAAATGATCAAGCAGAGGAAAAATTCAAGGAGTTTTATTTTTACGTGTTGAACAACAATCCTGAAGTCATAATGCAGTTTGAGGTATTTAAGCGTCTGCAAGATCCTGACGTTCTATTGCAAATCGAAATATTCAAGCTTTGGCAAAAATACGGGAGAGACCCAGCAGCTTGGTTGAAGGAAAGAAGAGAAGTCGAAGAGTTTTTTCGAGAGTTAAATAGCTCCTGAATAATAAGAAAAAAATAATAAGACAAAAAAACAAAACCCAAAACGTTTCTTTTGAGAACCATGAACTATATGAAATAATATATACGATTCTATTCGAGTATGTGTCAACCCTACCGAAATGTGCGCTTTAATGCCCTTAAGGTGTGTGTAAATTGAATATTTAAGAGGGAATTGTTATTATGCGTAAGGCAAGTGTGAATGAAATGTATGCTTATGCCCTTAAGGTGTGTGTAAATGAAATATTTATTAGGGAGTTTCATTGAATATTTACGAGGGAATTTTTTTATGTGTGAATATAATTTTTTTATTCGTTTAAATTCTTTTATAAAATGTGGTTCTTAAAAGAACCGTTTTTTGTTGTTTGTCTTTTAGACGACCAGCATCTTCTCCAGCCATAGCGCGAAGGCTTCAACTTTTGCGATGATGGTAGGCGTTTTAGTCAAGGTGGTTCCCACACGTTTCGAGCCAGACCAGCTGGTCAAAAAGTTTGTCGGCTTTGGGACAGCCAAAGCATTCCAAATTGACGGATGGGAAATTGAGATTTGCCAGCAAATCTTTGTCAATATGCCCACCTTTGTAAGCAAATTGTAGAGTTGGAATTCTCACGTATTTTACGGTAGAAAACCTCTATACCACTGCTGACAAATTTGTAATCTGGAGTGCTTTGGTGCCCCGCGGCACTCCGAATGAATTTAGTTTATGAATTTTTTTTTCACGTGATTGCACGTATTTTTGTCTTTATCACTTAGTTCGTTCCAACGAAGGCCAATATCAAAAAAGAACGATGAAGCTTCGGAATTTCCGATCTCGATTAGTCCCAATTCCTTGCAGTAGAACTTTCCATTTACATAGAAACCGTCCATATCCACGATTGAATTCATGATAAATGACATCTAAATAGAGAGAACAGTACTATATAGAGAGAGAAGACCCTAATTAGACGTCTGCGACGACATAAAGGGTGACTCCACCCTGTCTACCTAGGGGATAATTTGATACTGTCTGTTGTTACGATAACTTTGCCTTGGATGTATTTTTTAGTAATAATGAGGTTATGCCACAACGAAACGTTTTGATTGGTTTAATTTATACGAGTATAAGCTTGAGGGAGCAATTTGTTTTTTAATTTATAGTGATGGAATGTTTGCACGGAAAAGCTGCTTCCAATTCAACTACGACAGAAGGCGAGCTGTGGATTCATATGTCCAGAAGAGGATGGTTATTTATTTCAATCAGCACTGACAGCACGGAGAGCCACTGGTCTGAAGCAACCGATATGTGAAAGTCACAGAGAAAGCCAACAAAGTTTTGCGTGGTAAGGACATGCTAAAAAACAGTTACGGCAGGCCTTACTGTACTTCACGTGTGCAAGTCGTTAAAATCCTTGTTCCTTATGGATGTGGGCAGACGAGAAAGTCGAGGAACCGAGTTGCTATCACAACGAACCCTGTGCCATGGAGAGAGTAGACGGCCCAAAGTTCCTTTGCTGCTGCAACAGAAACCGATTTCATTATTTCGAGTGGGGACCGGAAGAGCAGCCAGAGCAACCTCCTACTGGGGCGCCTTTCGTACCGTTGTTCTACACTCGTTGCTATTCTGATGCTCAGCAGAACTGAAACATTTATAAACATATAAGGTATAATTAAGAACTTTGTATTATTACAAGATTTTTGAATATATATTTGAAACGTTTTACACTTTGTGTTCATTTATTGTTTTGCTGCGATGGAAGTGATATTAGATATAGATGAGCTTCGAGAAAATTATGTTGATATTGACATGAGAACGCTGACATGAGAACGCTATCCCATGATGCACTATGTCAATTATTTGCTTGAGCACCACGAAGCGCTGTACAATATCAAGTGCTGGAAGATGGCACAATCTACCAGGCCGGAGATTATTTGGAACAACAAAAGGAACAGTTAAAGGACGATCTAAAATTGTTGTAAATAAAACTAAAGTAAACAACTCTACTAAGAGAAGATTCGCTGTTTGGTCTGGCCTGTTCGACAACGAAAAGGTACGGTTGTTGCCATCAGACAAGAAATGTAAAGTGTTTAAAGTCCTGGATGTTAAATGCATAGAACTTACGGGACAGAAGCGGAAACTTGTGCTAACAGAAGAGGGAACAGTGTACAAAGTCAAGATCATCAAAGTTCATCAAAGTTTTCAAAGTGCCGCGTTATTTACTACCCTAACTCTGTTGCCTCGACGCAAATTTTGTTGCTCTCTGGCGACAATGAAAGAAATCCGGGTTGGGACGTGAGCGTTGCTCCAAATTATTTACAAGATTTTGTGAAGTCTTTAGACAAAGGATCAAACAACATGAAAGTTGCACACATCAACATTCGTAGTATTCGAAATAAAATTGAATGGCAATTCCGGGTTGGGACGTGAGCGTTGCTCCAAATTATTTACAAGATTTTGTGAAGTCTTTAGACAAAGGATCAAACAACATGAAAGTTGCACACATCAACATTCGTAGTATTCGAAATAAAATTGAGAAAGTGAAACTCCTGTTATACGTATGTCGTTTTGATATTTTGGCTATCACTGAGACACATCTAAATCGTAAAATATCCAACAGTCAACTTGAAATTGAGAATTACAAGATGGTCAGGAGAGATAGAAGTTCAGGAATGGTCGGAGGAGGATGTCTGGTGTATATTGCCAACCATCTTTGTTTCACGCGGCTTAAATCATTTGAATCGACGGATATTGAGGGCATATGGCTTAAGATCATGTTTGAATCATCTGCATTCATCGTAGGTTCTATTTATAGACCACCCTCTGACTCTGAATTCTTTCAAAGATTTTACATTATGTTGGAGAAAGTCTGGCTGAAGTATAGAAATGTTATGGTAATCGGAGACTTGAATGCAGATTTTACAAGGAATAGAGGAGAAATCACATCAGCAATGGGCAAACGACTTCATAATATACTTCAGCATTTTGACTTCTCAGTAGTCAATGATCAACCAACAAGGATCACTAGCGAGACATCCACTTTAATCGACTTGGTAATCGCCAGTAAGCCAAACACCATCAAATGTACGAAAACACTTGAGCTGGGGATTTCAGACCATCTGTTGGTGTATGCATCGGTAAAGAACAAGATTAAGCGACCTCCACCGAAAGTGGTTACAGCTAGATCTTATAAACGATTTGACAACGAAGCGTTTAGAAAAGATGTTGAGAAAGCACCGTGGGCTGTCATCTCTGTCTTTGATGATCCTGATGACAGCTTCTGGGCCTGGTCACACCTGTTTAATGAAATATGTGATAGACACGCTCACTATAAAATTAGGCAACAGTCTTTACCTTGGATAACTCCCCAGATTCGACATCTGCTGAACTTGCGTCTGAAAACGTTTTTGAAGGCTAAGAAATCAAATAGCCAGGAACTGTGGTCTGAGTATCGTAGCCTTAGGAATAGAGTAACTCAAAAGGTCAGGCTGTCGAAAAGTGAATATTATACTAACTTGTCTGATGAAGTTAAAGATTGTCGATCCTATTGGAAACTGGTGAAGAATGCTTCAGGTAGTCGAACTGTCCAGCCAATTTTAGGTATAAGGGGAAACGATCAAATCATCGAAACATCTGACTCGCGGAAAGCAGAAATCCTTAATGAACATTTCTCTACTATTGGAGAGAAATTAGCGAGTGAATTATATTCGGGTCAAAGACAGGAAAATCCTTTTTCGCATATTATTCGTGTTACACCAACAGTAACGAACATTGAACTTACTTATGATTCGATTATGCAAGGTTTAATGAAACTAAAGAACAATAAAACTTGTGGACCAGACAACATCGCACCAAGATTACTTAAAGGTGCTGGTCATATTTTAATTCCGTCGTTGTTTTCTCTATATTCAATGAGTCATGCGTCGTGCAATACTGTCCCAAGCACATGGAAATTTGCATGAGTTTCTGCCTTGTTCAAGAAGGATGATGAAACCTATAAGCAAAATTATCGCCCAGATTTCTTTATTACTGTATGTGTCCCTGGTAAACTCATGGAAACTCAGGTTGTTTCTACCATCACAAACCATGTTGAGCACCATAATCTTAGAAATAAACACCAGTGGGCTTATAAGAAGGGACATTCTACGCAGCTACTATTAGCTAAGATGACCGAAGATTGGAGGAGTGCACTGGATGGAAAGTTAGTTCTTGGTGTTGTTTTTATTGATTTCCGTAAAGCTTTCGACTCTCTACCTCACAATATTCTGCTCTACAAACTTCAAAGTTTGGGTATTGCAGGTGACCTATGGTGCTGGATAAGAGATTACCTCACTGATCGCCATCAAGCAACCGTTGTAAACGGCTGCAAATCAGAATCTATGCCTGTTAGGTTTGGAGTACCTCAAGGGTCAGTTCTTGGTCCTATACTCTTTTCAATATTCTGTAACGATTTACCAGATGTTGTAGTTGATGAAAATGAGAATGTTGAGATGTATGCGGATGATACAACATTGTACGTAGTAGCTAGGACTCACGATCAAGTTGCCAATATGCTGAATAAAACTTTAAAGAAGTTATATGAATGGTGCTGTCTAAATGGACTGTCTCCTCACCCGGGTAAGACCGAGTACATGCTTTTAGATCGAGGGAAATTTGCTGGTCCACTCCAGGACATCAGATTTGGAAACAATAGTATTAAACAGGTGCTGGTTTCTAGATGTTTGGGATTAGAAATTGATTATCAATTAAATTGGACCTACCATGTTTCTGAAGTTATTAAAGCATTTACTCAGAAGTTGAATTTGTTAAAATCATTATACTTCCTACCGAAAAAAGGTAGAGAGGATTTTTACTTCAAGGTTTATACTTCCATCCATAACCTACGGACTAATGATTTGGAGCTCGTGTTGCAAGACCCTCATGGATGAAATAGAAAGAATTCGTGTTCGAGCTGCAAAGATCATCTACAAACTGGACTGGAGTACTCCCAGCGACCAAGTGCTGGTGAAAGCTAATGGGAACACTATCAGGGACATGAACTCAAAATGTCTGCTATGCTTTGCATATAAGTGTTACTATGGTCATGTTCCAGAACAATTACAATCTATTGTTAGAAAAAGTAATTACACATATGATTTTAGAAGGAAGTTAAGTTTAGCCTTACCTGTGCCTAAATCTAATTATGTTAGAAATTCAATATATTATAAGGCAGCTAGTCTGTGGAACTCTTTAACGAATGAGCATAGGGCTTCAAATAATATAGCTAGTTTTAAAACGATTTTAAAGACAGATAAATTTTAAATTTAGGTAATTATTGACTGGGACTGGGTAATAAGTTTTTATTAATATAATATAGCTTAAATTATTGTTGTAAATACACGACCACATCAGTTCAGCTGTAATCTTATCGTGTTAAAATAAATGCTTTAGTAGTAGTAGTAACCAATAATACTGTCACATAAACAACAATAATACGACTTCCCATCGGGGAAAAGTCTGATGATATTCACCGATTTAATATGGTCAGGAACAGCGGCGTGATGCATTTTGGATCGGTGAATGCTCAAGTGACCCTGAGTGGTGGTTATAAAGCTACAATCCGTACATTTAACAAATGGAGATTGGGAATCGTGGGTGGACATAATAGCGAATGACAGTACAAATATAATACAGGAACTCCAAATTAAACAAGAGAACAGATATAGTTACGAACGCAATCGTACATTAACGCCATATGATACAGAGCGCTAGACAGTAACAGTGTACGGGGATTCCCCAAATATTATATAGCACTTGAGAATCCGAATACTAATTAACCGGCAAATGACCGTTGGAAAAACAACAAA